GTGAGGTGGGGCAAGACCACAGAAATCCACTCCCTCCCCCAAAATGGAGTCTGTACAATCCAAGTGTTTATCCACTTTGAGTTACTTTGAAGGCAGCTTAGAAAATTAAAAAGGGGGCAGAAAGCAGCGAAAAAACGTCAGTGTCCAAGCCAAAGGGAAAGGCTGTTTTGGGATGTGTGTGGCAGGGAAATCTCTTATAAACCAATGCCTTTCAGGTCGCAGGGGAGGGTTGCCTGGGTGGCCTGGGGGCTCTGGCAGCAGGGGAACTGGGCCCTGAAGCAGTCTCTCAGCTCCCTGTTGAAGAGGAAGCACACGACAGGGTTGATGCCGGCCTGGGCAAAGGTCAACCACACAGAGGCCGTCAGGTAGGCCTGGGGGACCGCGCCGGGCCGCACCAAGACCCGCAGGTAACTGGCCACGACGTAGGGCCCCCAGAGAAGAAGGAAGAGCAGCGTGACAGCGTAGAACATCTTGCACAGCCTCTTCTCGGTCTTGAACTCCTCAAGCACAAGGAGGCGGCGGGCCCCGCGGCCCGGCCCCGCGGGCCGAATGCCCACAAGCGCGGGCGGCGTGGGGCCGCGGCCAAAGCCCGCCGTCCAGTTGGCCGCCGCCTGGCCGGTGGCGCCTGGGCCATGGAAGGTCCAATCGTGGCTGACAGCGGGCACGAGGCGCGCGGGCCGCATTTTGCGGCGGTCGTGGATGAAGAAGAGTAGGCGGAGGTAGACGAGGTGTGTGGCGCCCACGACCACTGCCAGCAGCAGTAGGAAGCCAAGGGCCCCGGGGGCGCCGTCGGGCCGCTGCTCCAGGGCGCACGGCGCATCCTCATCGTCGCCGCCGCCGCCGTCCAGCACAGGCGGGAAGGCCGCGGCCAGCGCCAGAGCCCAGGCGGCGCACACCAGCATGGCGGCGCACGGCCAGCCGGCCAGGCGCTCGGCGTAGAAGCGGTGGTGAGCTATGGCCAGGTAGCGAGTGACGCCCACGCCGAGGAGCAGGAAGGCGGCGTGGAAGCAGAAGAGCGCGGCCAGAAAGGCGAGCAGCTTACAGCCCAGCGCGCCTGGCGGCGCCCCCGCCGCGGCCGCGGCACGCCGCGCAGCTAGCATTACGGCCGGGAGGCAGGCGAGCGCGCGCAGCCCGTCGGCCAGGCACAGGTCGAGCAGCAGGTAGTACGGGGCGCGGTGCAAACTGCGCTCCCGCACGATGAGCAGCGCGAACAGCACGTTGCCTGCCAGGCTTACGCACAGCAGCAGGCTGAGCGTGGCCAGCTTGAGGCCCAGGGCTGCTGCCTCCCCGCCGCCGCCGCCGCCGCCGCCGCCCGGCTCGCTGGCGTTCGCCATCGCGGCCTCCCCAGGCCGTGCTCTCCGCCCCGGGGCAGCCCTCGGTCTCGCCACTCCCGCAGGCCGCCCGATCCTG